CTTTTGAAGTGTAAGATAAAATAGTTGTCTAATGTAGTATCTGATGCACAATTATTCACTTTGGAGTAAATTTTAACCATCCGTCATGTTTAAGCACGATCATTTAACGATTCTTGCAATTTGAAGACCTGATATTGACCGCAACTTAAGTACAGACGCGAGTGTTTTTTATCCCAAAACATTTTGGGGCAACTTCAGCACAAGTGGCCTGCTAGTTTTTCACTTGTCTTGCACGAATTTCACCAAGCCCCAACGGTTACCAACTTAACATATATAGAAGTTTTTTTTTTTTACTGTTCTTGCGGCTAGGGTTGCTCTTTTGAAGTGTAAGATATAATAACTTGTCTAATGCACAATTATTCACTTTGGAGTAAATTTGAACCATCCGTCATGCTTAAGCACAATCATTTAACGATTCTTGCAATTTGAAGACCTGATATTGACCGCAACTTAAGTACATTCAGATGCGAGTGTTTTTTATCCCAAAACATTTTGGGGCAACTTCAGCACAAGTGGCCTGCTAGTTTTTCACTTGACTTGCACGAATTTGACCAAGCCCCAACGGTTACCAACTTAACATGTATAGTGAAGTGTCCTGTCAATAGCACATGTTGTGTTGTGCCTCACCAGAAAAACACAGACAAAATTATAAAAGAGCTACAGGGTTTTCTACTGTGCGGGTTTTAATTAAATTATATACTTTTTACTGATCAATGAAAGGTAATTAAAATATTGGGGTGACGATGGCGCCCTTTTTTGTTATACATTGATTGGATTACATCATTGATCACAACTTCTGGCCTCTTTCTCATAAAATATTTATTAAAGAAAAACTTGTGTGGCCCCACTTTTTCCTGTAAATCTGACATTAATTAGTCATTAATCACTTTATTTTTATACACCAAACTCCCATCTTCTTTACACTTAATCCAAAACCAATCAATTCTAGTAGAGGAAAAGAGATGAATACATGTACTTGCTTGAATTGAAATTTTAATATAGAAATGAGACAAAATCCCTACACTGCATGCAGTGACTCCTGTCCGTGAATTTTATTTATTTATTTATTTATGTATTTTGGTCCAAGCTATTTGCAAATGTTTTTAACTTTATCTATCTATTCTCTACACAATAATGATGATGATTTTATTTTATTTTATTTTTTGATATTGTATTGGCATATTTTACTCGAGAGGTGTTTTAATAATAAATTATTTATTAATTAGTGGGTGAAATAAACAATTTTATAAGTTCAAATAGAAGCTTCCCTTTGTACTTATTGACTAATATATATATTAGAAATAGTACATTACATTAGTATGATGTTATTACTCTTAAAAATGTTATATCCTAACCACTACAAATCTCTTCAGATTCTTGCATGAACACAGTTAGCTAGGTCATTGGTTGTGCTTTCACTATAGCCATATGTTTAACAACAAAAGTCTTTGTGCTGTATTTAAAGATCAAATATATTGTTAATCATAGGTTTCACATAAGTGAGATCTACCAACATAAGTGGATCTCGTTGAACTTTAATGAGTACATTTGAGACATATTGATCACTATTCAAAAAAGTGAAATCCTAGTGCGGAGTCCTCTGTATTTGGATTAAACTTTTGTGGTTATATGTATTTATATTGACTTTTGTGATTGGCGGTCTTTGTGCTTGAATTATAAATGCAATCTATCGCTTTTTTTTGGAAGAAAAAATAAAAAAGGTGGAACCCTCGAAAAGTAGATAAGACCATTGCTTGAATATTGATTTTGGCATCTCCATTTAGTATGCAATAAAGGAATTGGGTCTATAAGATTGAAAGACAAGATTAACCCTTTAGAATATTCGTATGTAAATTGTATGCCGTGGTAAGATTCGTTTGCATATGTCATTGTCATACATCTATAATGAGTATGGAGGGGGCATTTTGAAATTTTCCTCTTGGTCCATTTTCAGGTTCAGTGCTCTGGTGCATATCAATGATCCAAAAAGAGGTTGTATAATTTAACTGGGAAAGGCCAATTAGTTTAGCAGGATATAAAATGGGAGACATTATTGGCGCAAGTTTCAGCGTTTTGCAGAGAATGCGATAAATATTTGTGCGACCGACAATAATTTGTAGCTTTATATATACGGAAGTGGAGCGGTAGTCGTAGTGGACGGAGAGGAGATTCAAATATAAAACGATCAAGATATATAACATACTACAAAACGCTTCCATAAACAAAACATTGGCTAATTTTTTTACAGAATAACCCCAAGGTTTTTCCACACGAAAACCATCATTTTCCAAATCCCACTTTTCTCTTTCTTTTTCTTTTTCCCAAAAAAACACCATGAGAACTACCCCACCATTTACTTTAGCAGCTTTTATATATAATTTACAGAGACACAGAGAGAGAGAGAGAGAGACTCAGAGAGAAGTGCATGGCTAGCTCTTTGTTCTTGTTTTCCGAAATTAATGAGGTTATTTTTCTCTTAATAATATTAATATTCTAATAAATTACGCAATTAATGACGGGGTTTGTTCCGGAATAACGGTGTTGCATGGCCATGCAGAAGACTGTAGTTGCCGGTAAACCAAAATTTGACGTATGTCCGACAGTTTCTGTCGGAGCAGGACGTGTTCGGATCGGAGCCTATCGTTGTCGGTCCGAACCCTCTGAAAATGGTACAAAACGTAACTCAACCGGTTCTTCAGTTCCCTGTTCTCAATCCTAAGCCGGTTCACCTGGTTCCTTAGGTTTTCTAAGTGCTTTTGTTTTCGCATCCGAGACCGCCTCGCCGACTCCCGGTTCGATATCATCCGCCTCCTCTTCCTCTCGTCCACCACAGAAATCGCCCGGTTCGAGGCATCATTTGGGCATGGCTTCGCATTGGCATGGGTCCGGTTCATTCGGTCCGGTTGAATCAACCGGTTTGGATCGTCTTCGGAACCGGAACTTGAAATCACTGTTTTTGGAGACTGGACCAGACCAGAACTTAGGGTTGAGATTGTGGGTTTTGGGGATTGAATTGCTGGAAAAAGTTCCGAGCAATCCCATGGCGTGAAGCCGCCGCCTCCGGGGGTAAAGCCCCCGTCGAAAGCAGAGAAATGGAGAAGGGAGTCGGAGGGAAGCATGGCTGGAACAGTAGACAACATGGTTGCTACAAAAACTCTCTAAACTTGTAATTTAGATAGGGAGGGAGGGGGGAGGAGGAAACGGAAGGAACGAAGCGTTGGGGCTTCATATTTATTGGCAAAGTGGAGTGGCCAATTGGGGAATTTTGTTTGGTGATCAAGGGTATTTTCGTCCAAAAACTGTATATGCTAGATCAGCTTTTGAGTCAGGTCGCACTATAGTGTGGGCCGTGGGTTATATCATCATATGTTTTACAAGCTTAATTAGCTTTTTCAAGAGACGTTGGGGAAGTGACATAGCCTGGTGGGTCCCAGAAAAAGATTGGTTTAAAGCTTACTCGCGAAGAAACAAAGAGACTAGCTACTAACAGGAGTTGGTCCAAGTGGAAGGGGCTTGGATCCTTTAAACAAGAGGTCCTGGGTTCGATCCCAGGCGCTTGCGAATAG